CCAGACCTCCGACGACCACCGCTGGCTCTCTCCCCACGACTCCACCAAGAAGAACCCCGTCCGGGAGGAGAATTGCAACGGAGAGATGCAAGGCTGGGAGAGGGATAAGTGCAAGGCCGACGTCCTGAACCACCCTCTGTACGACCAGCTGCTGGCGGCTCACGTCTCCTGCCTCAGAATCGCCACCCCCGTCGACCAGCTCCCCAGAATCGACGCTCAGCTCGCCCAATCCCAAAGCGTCGTCTCTAAGTACTCCCTTCTAGCTCAGGCCCACCCTCCTTTGGATGACAGAGACCTTGATCTATTCATGGTATATTATTCCTCTCTTTTTCATTTTTTAAATTTGAAAAAGGAACCCTATACCTTCGAAATTCAGTCTTACTAATCTTCTATATTTGAACTCCCCTACTTATTTTTTCTAAGACCCCAACTTTTCTTGGAACTGAATCATTCACATTACTGTAACCAATCCAAACAAAAAGCTTAAGTAGGTTGTTAGAGGCCCTAGAAAAGAAAAGGTTCTTGTGCTCTATTAATTCTCCAATGTGTTTCTCTATAGTACTATAATTATACAAGTGTGCGCCAAAGAACAAACCAAATGTAACCCCCCTATGCATATATATTTCAAAGGTGTGTGCTTTAGATCACTAGTCTTGGTTTCTCTTTCATTATTAAATATATTGTTTATATATTTAATATTATTGTATTATATTGTTGCTATAATTGTATTACCTTCCTACTTTGTCTCTCCTACCTTAATTAGGATTGAGACTACTAGTATATATTTATATGTAATCACCTCAAATCAATCAATGAAAATACACTTTCTACATGGTATCGGAGTTTGAAAAACCCTAAACCTAAATACTCCCAGCGCCGCATCTTCCTCTTCGGCTCTCTCTCACGCCGATCTCTCCCTCTCACGCTGTACTTCACTGCCGGCGAACCTCCTCCCTTCTTACACCATGGCAGACAAAGCAGAGAGTGAAATCACATCTCAAGACATCACCTCCAAATCTCCCCAACTTGCCTTCACCACCATCTCCAACGTAAAACTTCACGTTCCTATTCAACTCAGTTTCTCACAACCCAATTACAAAAAGTGGAGCTGATTATTTCTCCTCCTGGTTCGCCGCTTCAACCTCCACAGGTACCTCGACGGCTCCGTCGTTCCCACCTCTGACGACGACGATGAATGGTTCCAACTAGACGCTCTTCTCCAGGGTTGGATCCTCTCTACCATCACCGACGAAGTTTCAGATCTCGTCATCTCCTCCACCACCGCAGCAGCTTCTCTCTGGAAGGTTATTCACGATCTCTTTCATGACAACAAACATGCTCGTGCCATGCAACTTGAGCATCAGTTTCGCACTACGGTCAAAGGAAACACCCCCATGGCTACGTATTGTCAAAATCTCTACAACATCGCCGATTGGCTCGACGATGTGGATGCGCCGGTCTCTCAACACCAATTAGTTCTCCAGATGCTACGCGGCTTGCCGGAGGATCTTCAGGCTCAAACCTCTTTTCTTCAGTTTCAAGATCCGCTGCCTACGTTTCTTCAAGCCCGATCGGCCCTTCTTGTAACGCCCCGAAATCTGGCCCAAAAGAATTAATTAAATTGTTAGAGCAATTGATTACAAATTGGGCCCAATAAGGGGTTAAAATTATAATTTGGATTTTAAGTCCAACTTTTATGTCATCTCGTAGGAAATATTTTTGTGATCGCGTCGGTTCAGACGGCTCGCGAATCGGAGTTATGGAACTCAAGTTATGACCATTTAATCAGGTATTTTGGGTCCGAAGCCCAATCCTTTTTGGAATGGGACCATTAAATAAACCTAAACTAATTTCAGCCGTAGAAACCTTATCGTTTCGTTCGTCCTTCTCCTTCTTCGTTTCTCTTCTTCTTCCTTCTTCTTCTTTCTTCTTCTTCCATTTCTTCTTCGCCGATCGATCGCCGCCGGAAGTTCCCCAGCCGGTCGTTCGCCGTCCAATTGGAGCCGCCGTCGCCTTCCCCAGCCTCGCCGCCATCATCGCCGACTGGTGCAGCGCCGCCGTGAGCTAGCCGCCAGTCGTCGCTGTCCAATTGCAGCAGCCAGCGCCGGTCGTCCTCTACCGTTCGACCACGCCGGCGTCGCGCAAGCCAGAGCCTCGCCGGAAGCCAGTCGCTGCCCATCCTTCGCCGGAAGTCCGTCGCCTCCACTGCCAGCGCCGGTCGCTCATCGCCGCCGTCGATTGCAGCGCCGTCGCTGCTTCCTTCGCCAATAGCCGCCGCTCAGCGTCGCCGAGCCTTCAGCCGCCGTCGCCGAGCTTCCAGCCGCTGCTTTGCCTTCGCCGGAATCGAGCACCGCCGTCGCCCTTTGCACAGCGGCCATCCGCCGCCGTCGAGTGCAGCACCGCCGTCGAGTGCAGCGCCGCCAGTCGCTGCTCCCCGCCGTCGAGCTGCCGCTACGCCATTGTCGCCGGCGTCCGTCACCGTCGCCGCATCCGGCCGCTGCCCCGAGTTGATATCGCCGGCAGATTAACCTCCACGCCGGATTGATTGGTCGATTTCGCATTTTGACTCGACTTGACCCGTTCGGTTGATTTCGTTGATTTGTCTTCCGTTCGAGCTATCGATTCGATTTCGACGTAATCCAGGTCCGTACTATGAAGTTAATAGCATTCAGAATAGATTTAATGGTTTGGATCGTTATATGTGTTTATGCTATAATTTGGCTAAATTGGTTAATTGAATTAAATTGATTGTTTGAATTGAATTGTTGAGGATTGTGAATTGACTGAACA